ATGGTATAGACATGTGTAAATATGTGTCATGCTGTTGCGTTTAAGTAATTCTCTATCTTGTAAAAGTTATAACGTTTCACCGCTAGATGGCGGGATGTTATTCGTCCTTTAATTGAAGGGAGATCCAATCTACTCACTTAAATTAAACGGGATCCTGGAATTCACAAAGGAAATGCACACATACATGCGTGTGTTTGTGAGGTAAGAAAAACAGTTTATCTCGCATTGTATTCATTCATTTTTATTACACCCTATCAAAAATGTAATCTAGAACTCAGGCCTCCTTCATAGATAGTCTTATAGGGGTAGGAAAGAGGATAAGCCATAGCTGCCTCGGTTTGAAGGCACAGTTTTAACCGCAGTTCTTATTGACTATTTTTGTCGTTATTAGGAAGATGCTGCTGCCCATCTGTTGTCTCATTTCCTTCTGTTGCCTCTTGCTTCACTCAAAGGATTATACAGAGTAGTGGGTTATCTCACACCGCCAATAAATTATACAATGAGCTGACTTATTGCCTTTCGGCATTCTCTTCCAATCACCCCGGTTCGTGTGGAAATAATGTGGTAGAGTGTAGATGTGTAAAATAATTAGTAATTAGGTAGTAAGTGGTGATTTACCGTGAACTCGGCGGTGAAGTAAATAGTATCTGTGGACTAAAAATATTTCGAACACATATGTAAAGTCTGCAAAACACGTGCTAGAGCAGCGCGGCGGACTAAACCCTCTCAGGGAAGAGGAGATCTGTGCACAGTAGTGTGATATTTACAGGCTGTAATTTACTTGTACTTTACCACATTACCGTATTTCTAAAAAGGTCGCTCAGAAAATTCTGATGCTATGTCTTCTTATCGTGTAAGATTTCGGACATCGCTTATTTACCAGAATCTCGCTTATGAATCAGCTCAGGCAGCATTCTGTAGTTGACGACGATGTGGTGAAAAAATATGCTGCGTTGCTCTACTGCGGCACAGCATCCTGGACACAGCATCCATTTACCATCAAGTAGAATGTATTCTCTAATGTCACCTTTCCACTGTGCCTGAATTAGTACTAGTAACTAGGTAACCAAGAGAGGAAACTAGGATTAATTTAAAGTTAAAAGTTACAGCATATATACGTCCCCTCCTGAGAGGAAGCCTGTACCCACTGCCGGGCACAGGCCTCCTCTCATTTCTGAGAGGGTTTTTTTTCACCCTTAAAATTAGACCTTTAAATTAAAAAAGAAGATTAATTTCACATCATTATATCATCATTGTATCCCAATATTTGCCTCTCCAAAACTGGACCGCTTTTAATTTATTTTCATAAGAAATGTAAGAATGATTGTGAGTACGTCTGTATGTTTTAATTTTATTCCTTTATTTGTTAAAATTGTGAGATACGTAATTTTTTTAATAATTTATAACAGAAAACACATAGTATCATGGTTGTGATAGATTTAGATATTGCATCGTTGAATTATTACGTAATATATAATATATAATATATAATTATATTATTATATTTATATATTGTATATTACCAGAGCTGATGATGTGTACGCTCAATAACTTCTGTATACAGTCCTCTACTACTTTTAGACGAATTTCTAATAATCACCACGCTTGACTCGAAGATTGGTGATATCAGTACCGTGCGATTAGCACGGACTCCAATCCCTGTCGATGTATCGATATAGCCATCTATGTAAACCAATGAGATCTGGTATTCCCCACGCTAGACTTATACAATACCTGCAGGATGATTCGAGCGATACATTCTTTTTCGTCGTCATCCCGCGATCATGCATTAATAATAAATATCTAAACCAAGTTTCCGTTTTGCTGACCTAACTGAATGAAGTAATAAATATTTCTTGAGGCTACTAAAAGGTTCACCGGGCTGTCTATATCATTCAATGCGGGAGATGTGGCTTCGTGATTGAATATCAGAAAAAATCATACAACCATTTCTAAATCAATGTTGGTACAAACATTGATTTATATATTACACTAGATTAGTAATTACCACGCCAAAGCGTTGCCACCGCACTAACGTCACTAACGTCAGTTCAGTGTTCAATGTGATGCCGACAGAGTTGAGCCGAGCGATCCACGACAAAAATAGGTAAATGGGTAGTGATAGAATGCGATTCAAGGTCACAAAAACAAAATAAATCAAGCGGAATCACTTTCCACACAAGTTTTAGCTCATGTTTTCATACAAACGTAAAAACCTCATATAATGAAATAAAATTATCGAATATTGCGATTAGGTTAAATATTGTCTCTTTTCCACTTTTGTTATTTTTCCACATTAAAGGGAGACTATATAATTAATGGAGTAAGTTAATTTGTTACCTCTGATTTTAAATATTTTGGAAATTACAATAACAACTGCGTTTTAACTCTCATACAAAATAATTATATATTCTTATTTTAGTTTATTCAGTTTATTCATGATCTATTGAATATGTTTTATTACCTATTATATTGATTATAATTTTATTTTTAAATAAATTTAATATTTTATATTAATTATATTTTATTACCTATTTTATATTGTTTGATTTATTAGAACAATAAAAATACTTAAAAAAATATGTTTTATTTCATCAGTTATGCTAACTTCTATTTACCTGATAAGAAATACTTTTTTTTTATAAAAACAATCAACTGCAGCTTAAAAAAACTCCTTTTTATTGCGTATTTTGGGTTAAATTTCATATAGTAAGCCATACCAACCCACTATTACATCATGTTTGATGTGTCTATTTTTATCTAATCTCAGCGACGGTATTGTCTTCGCAACATGTGTAAGTGAGACAGATTTATGTTTATTTAAAATGTTTAGTAATTTCAAAGCTAAACCGTCGCGGCTGGATAGTGATTACACTTTTTTCTGTATATATTCTGTAATTTGGTTTGCTCCTCTAGTTTTGTATAACTCAATGGGTGCAAATAGTTTAACAAAACTCCATGATTTTTGACAATACCCGCACTTTATTTCAATCGCTCACATGCATTGTAAATGTAGCTTATAAAATAGATTCTATACATATATAATATATAATTAAAATTTAATCATGTGGATAACTTGTTAGTTTTCTAAGCATATGATGGAATACATGGAGATGGATAGTGGGATGCAAGGTGTGAGTGGAGAAGGTTCAGTTTTTTTTTATAGGATAGGGTAACAAACTAGTACACATTCCACCTAAAGGTAAGTTTTTGCAGCGGCCCATAAACATGTATATCTATCCTCGATTACAAATCAAAATGCATTGTCACCCGTGAGGACTAAGACGGAATGCCTCGTTTCCAGTTAAAAGAGTCTTCGGTTCTCTACATTCACCATACGAAACACAACACCATTAAGCTACCATTTTACGCTGGTATTCTGTGTGAACGTGGTCCTTCCCTGGTCGAGCCAACCCATTCGTGCTACAACTTTACTATTAATATACCTGCAGCATGGTTCTACCACGTAAAAGTTGAACACGGTAGTTGAGGCTTGTACAATGAAACGACCGCGCAGCCTGAATTACTAAAACCGAGTTCGAGAGTTTGGTTGGAAGCAGATGGTTCCAGTGGCTGTATTGGAGGTGGTTGTACCTGAAACTTGTTTATAAAATATTTTTTATTAAATAGTAACATAATAAGCATTCACATTGTATTAAGCAAATTCATTTTAAATAATAAAAATCGATTTGTATAATTTAAATGAAATAAAAGAAATATTGAAATAATACTAATTTTTACGGAATTTATCGCGTATATTTAACTTTTTAATTACCCGACGTTTCGAGAGCTTTACAGCACCCATGGTCACGGGAAGGACTGAGATGTTCAACGTCCAGCTGTCATAGTTAACCGCGGTTACCATAGATTAAAATTTAACTTTTTGTTCCGATCTACACAGTATGAACTTATGGTATCATGGAGTCTTGCAGTTGTATGCTTGGGTTGGGATTTAATTTTATTTATTATAGGATCCCAAGCAGATGGTAGCACCCAGCCATCTTCTCTATTGAAATTAGGATGTTTTTTGATTTCAATAGCCTCGCGAATCATCCTTGGAAGGAATCGGTGTTCTTTAGCGAGGATTTGTGGTCTATCAAATCTGATGTAGTGACGGGGGCGATCCTGTACATGTTCACAGACTGCAGACTTCCGGAGCGTCGATTCTTCACATCAGCTATATGTTCTTTGACGCGGGTTTTAATTGATCTTTTAGTTTGTCCTATGTAGGAGAGACCACATTCACAATCAAGCTTGTACACTCCTGCATCTTGCAGAGGGACGTTACACTTGACTGATGGTAAAAACTGACCAATCTTCTTCGGCGGCTTGAAGTATGTTTTGATGGAAGCGCGCTTCAAGATGTAGCCAATCTTGTCAGTGACTCCTCTAACATACGGCAGTACAGCAGGTACACGCTCGACTGTGGCCGGCTTCACTCGTTCTCTGTGACGTAGGCGCGGGACCCGAAGCTTGTTGTCATGCAAAACTTGCTTGACATGTTGGAGCTCGGCAGCCAGGTGTTTGCTGTCACAGATCCCTCGTGCTCTCTGAAAAAAAAAAAAAAAAGAAATATTACAGATTCTCACTTTAATTGGAGCAGGCTTTGGTGGTTGAACCGGCGCAGGTTTAACAACAATCGGAGCAGGCCAAGGTGGGTACACGGGGTTAGGCCTAACTTCAATCGGTGCTGGGGTAGGTGGTTGCACTGGGTCTGGCTTCACGTATGTTGACGCAGGGAAAACTGGTTGAACTGGTGATGTTTTCACCCATATAGCAGGTGGTGTAGGCAGGCGAACAGTTCTTGGTCTGATAACTATTGGAGAAGGTGCAAGAAACCGAATTAGGACAGGTTTTAAGATCACTGAACCTGTCTTTAAATATTTTCAAGATACTTCTGAAACAAAAAATAGAACACAAATAGTAAATCATTAAATTATTGCAACGAATTTTGTTTAATTTGTATAATTTAGTTTGTATGAAATAACTTTATCCTTACCCTAGGGCGCCTGACCATACAAATAGTTCACAGGTGGCTCAGAAGGATTGCAAGGTCCAATATTTATAACATCATTATGATCAGAATACGGAGGTGAGCATGGATCACCAGAATCACACGTAGATACCACACAGGGTTCACGTGGCTGATACTCTGCCCAAGCAATTTGAGGATCTGAGTCTGGTATTGGTTGACTAAAAGTCGAGCCCAAAAGAAGTGCTGCAAAGTATCAAAACAGATGTTTCTTTATTTAGTTGTAAGTACACTAAATTTGCTAATCACCTATCTATTTCATGTGATTGTAATGGACGCCGTGTCGGCGTACTTAGAGAACACGGTCACATTTCTTTCCACAAGAGTCGACGGTAGGATGTGGATAGAAAATATCATGAGCTCTGATCGATTGCGCCAAGATTATGCATATATGTAAATTAACTTTTATAAAGTAAAAACCGAATTCAAAAAACTAAAAATAATAAAGTAATTTCACATTCTTAAGTCGGTGCTAAGACAAAGTTGCATGGAAGAATAAAAGCCCAGAATTAAAAATGTGAAATTACTTTATTCCTTATAGTTCTTTGAAGAAGTCTATTACTGTTTATGATATTTAGTTTTTTTTCGTCCTTTTTAGTGAACTAAAATATACCTCGTTGTCCTTAATGTCGTATAGACAATAACAATAGATTAAATAATAAATAAATAAAAAATGTATTACTCTTTTTTAGTAGTTGAATAAAAACAGCTGCAATGATGTTGGGAAACGTGCATATGATTTTGTGGTTTTTCTAATCTGAGGCTACGTTACTATGTTTCAGACTTGGAGTAAAAACACAACTGTAATTCATGATAACAAAATCGTGTATGAAAGTAATTTCCATCAATAAAAACAAGAGAGAATTTTAATAAAAGCTCTCCCGGAAGATGAGTAGGTCTCGCTCGCTTGACGCTCCGCTCTGCTGCCGGTCTGGATATTTTTATGCTTTGCTCACTTTTAGATAATATTATAAAAACTGTTAAAGCATTTCAATATGTTGGTATTAATATCGAAGACACGTAAGACTAGAGATAGAGAATAGGGCGTAAATAGATTAGCCTTGCCATCTCACACGAACTACGCGTACACACTACGTAGAACCGACTAATTCAGTGTAAGCGAAAGTAAATATATGTTCCGAATTATCCTGGCGAATCTCATAGTTAAATTATCTGTCTGTTATATCAAAGTTAATGCCATTTATTAAGCTAAAGGGGTATTCGCATGCTATTGTGACAAGTGAATAATCATTTTTTAAATTTTTTGTTCGTCTTTCTGTCTATCCGAGCTTATCTTCGAAATACTGAACTGAACCAATTTTAATAAACCTTCACGAACGGATTGAGAGCCATCGTCAGGTGTGATCTAGGCTATACATTTAAAAGTATTTTTTTAATCTGATGTTTTATTAAAAATAAAAAAATATAAAAATGTTAAAGGATTTTTCCGTTAAACTTAAAAAACAGTTAGGTGGTCAATAGTCATAGGCGGCTTGCCATAAAGGGTTTTTATAGCAAAAGTTTAAAAATTTGAGTCGAAGAAATTGTTAGTTGTACATATGCAGATTTATCATTTAATGATTATTATTTTTCACAAAAATACACACTAATATACATTATGATGTTGTGATCATCAGTTTGTTATTTAAGTAAATTTCACCATATTTATTAAATTATATTCTATTTCACAGATTCACAGAGTCTTGGTAAGAAGCTTCCATTTCTTCATGGATGTTTTTATTTGAGTTTTACCTTGTTTTGTGAGGAATTTAGTCGCACACTCTACCCATTAATTAAGTAACTTTTAATTTCTTTTTGTAGGCTATATGGAAGAAAATGTCTAATGGTACTAAGAACACCTTTTTTTCTCTCTCTTTTTGTTCTTTGTTACGTGTTTTATTTTTTTATTTATTTGCTTTTTCAGGTAAACATACAGTACAATAAAAATACATTATAAAACATATAAAAGTAATCCTAAAACCAATGAAGTTTCCGCAGATATCTATAACATATTAAAAGCTTGCAACCATAATATGTTTAAAGATTGAAAAAAAACTTAATGGTATTTATAATTAAACATTAAGTACTAAGCATAAAATAAAAGTAATACAATACACACAACCTATGATGAAGCTACCAATTATAAATTAAGTTTTACAATATTTTATTATAACTATTATATTTAAGGTGAAAAATATCTAGTTCACAATATTTTAAGTTAAAATTTTTACATGTACGAGATACAAACTTATTAGAAGCATACTTCGTTTTTACTTTACGTAATGCAAAAAAAAAAAGCTTTTTTTCGTGAACCTAACCGGTGACATGCAAGATTCGCTTTGCTTAAAAGTAGGGGAGAGTCGATGATATTATGTAGCAATTTGTACAACATTTGATCTCTTATATCACGGCATTTTTCGAGTGTATAACTGTGTAAGCTATCAATAAAGGAGTCTACGGAAGAATCATATAGCTTTAAATGACGCAGAAACTTATTATTGATTGTTTCAATCATTTTAACATAAACTTTGTATTGAGGATTCCAACATGAAGAGCAATATTCAAGAATAGATTGCACCATAGTATTAAACAGTATAATTATTGTTGTAGAGTTTTTAAAATCTTTTGAGATACGCATCACAAAACCTAGCATTTTATAAGCTCTTTGAGTTATTATATTAATATGTGATCTCAGTAACAACTTACTATCCAACTGAACACCAAGATCACGCAGTTCATTTACTCTCTTTAGTAAATTATCGTCGAGCTTATAGTTAAAGAGAATTGGATTCTTTTTCCTAGTAAATGAGATAATATTATATTTCTTGATGTTCAAGTAAATATGATTTGCTTGGCAATATGAGCTAAGCCTACTCAGATCCTCTTGAAGTAGATTGCAGTCTTCTATAGATTTAATAGATCTGAAAATTTTCATATCATCTGCAAAAAGGAGAATTTTGGAATTATGGAAGCAGGATATTACTATTACGTTTGACTGTTTTTAATTTGTTTTCTAAGTGTACAATAATACAATATTGTACCGTAAAACCGGCCATTATTGACCGCAATTTTACTTAATTTTGAGATTTTAAATGAACTTTTTACCAAAACGCGTAATTAAGTTTACCAATATAGCAGTTACCATTAAAGGCTTTAAATCACGAAATGCTGAGACCCTGGCTTTGACAGAGTTCTAGAAAAAACGTGCTCAAATAGCCGGGCAATATTATACGCACAACCGTCCCATATTGCTCAGCCTCAATTTTTCTAAAACTATCAATTCTAAGGCTTGAGATATAAAGTATGTTATGGTAAATTATGCAAAGTTGCCATCCTCCTTGAAGAAAATATGAAAAGCATTTTATTTTTTTATTTCACCTGGGTGTGCAGTGCTATACTACACACAGCTACAAGTTCTTACAAACTAAAATGGTGGGTTAGGGTTGTCACATAATGTGATAAATAATAATCTCTTTTCATATTTTAAACTTGTATTAAAAATTTATCTGGTACATTAGTTACATATTGTAATTATGAGTATTTGGTTATTTGCGCTGGGAAAGGTTTTCACCAAAAAAAAATCTTAGAAAAAAAAAAACATTACAACACTTGTCGGACACAGAGAAACAAATGACTAACCTAAGAAAGAAAGAAATAACCTTTAAATATAAGGTTCAATTAAAATCCTTTTTTACGTCAAACGTAAATGAAGCTTTCTTTCAATAAGTTTCTGCGATTTCTTCTTTTGATAGGCTTCCCCATACTCAAGATTTCAAAGTAACCTAGCAACCCAAGTTTAGTCTCCGCCGGTATATATTAATATTCGCAACCTTACACTTTTATACACAATGTAACATGTATTAAGTAGTTAAACATATTTCTTTTCCGACACTGAATATAAGAGAAATTAGGGCCAATAAAAGACCGTTTGGTGCAAAGATCTCTAGTGTCAGCAGCCACCACTTCAAACGTAAAATAAATGATCGCCATTAATTTAGTTTCGTATTTATGAAAAATTTATCCTCTTTTATCTTTTCGTCTCCCTAGTTTTAAGACTTGTTATACCACTTCGAAAAATTCTTCTGTACCACGGAGGCATTTTAATTATATAAATGCATATAGAGAAACATCTAGGCTCTTATGTGTAGACAATGCAAATACCTGCTATGGGTTACATAGTCGTAACCAAATAAGTAGCTTTGGTCCTTCCCCAGTCAAGCCAAACTATTCGCTATAATTATACAACTATAATGTAGCTGCAGCCTGGCTCAATTATGTTAAGATAAATTAGTAAAACAAATGTATTTAATCTAATTTAGCGAAACATAAAACAACGTTACACATCATAAAACAAAGTCGCTCATAAAAAGACAGTAAAAAACGGTAAAGTAACAATCGCCAGGCATGGTTCTCAACGCTATTTGTATTTGGTAAGCAATGCAATCAAATCCTTTTAAAATCAACAATTATTCTATTCAGAATGTCGGACTTCTTTCCTGCCCGGGAGTTCTCTATATAGACACAAGAACTGACAGTGTTACCTTTTTTCTACGACCAAGCGGAATTGCGTGCTCTGCTTTGTTCCGTTTTTTTTTTTTGTCTGATTTATGCGGAAGAGCTTACAGTATTTTGAAGTCTTGCAGTATTATGCTTGGGTTTGGATTTTATTTTATTAAATATGTGATTCCAAGCAGATGGTAGCACCCAGCCATATTCTCTATTGAAATCAGGATGTTTTCAAATTTCAATAGCATCGCGAATCATTCTTGGTAGAAATCGGTGTTGGTGCTCCACATATATTCTTCCACAAGAATTTTTATGGATCTTTTTGTGTGTTCTATGTAAGAGAGACCATATTCACAATCAAGCTTGTACAATCCAACATCTTGTAGAGGAATATTATACTTGACGGATGATAAGAACTGACTAATCTTCTTCTGCGGCTTTTAGTATGTTCTTATGGAAGCCCCAATCTTATCTATGACTCCATTGACATATGGTAGTACAGCGGGGGCGCTCTCGACTGTGGCCGGTTTCACTCGGTCACTGTGACGTAGGCGCGAGATCCGAAGCTTATTGTCGTGCAAAACGTGCTTGACGTGCTGGAGTTCGACAGCCAGGTGTTTAGTGTCACTGGTTTTCCTACGGTAGCTAATTGTTCATGATGTTGGTGAAATTCACCGTTT